GGCCTCGGCACACCGGCAACGCTGACCCCGAAAACGAAATCTCAAACGGGGTTCCACAAACCTCCGTGGCTGTAGGCCAATCGAGCCGTGGCCGAGCTGATCTATCTCTCCGGCCTCAAGGAACCGATACTGACGCCAGCATAAACTGCTCCGGGCACGAGCAACTCGGCCAACCCATGGGCATTGACAATGGTTGTGTGGACCTACCTGCCGTGCTTGCACTGGCAGAGACTCCATTGGATTCCGGGTGTACATTCGCGACGCCCACTGATGGCAAGGACCATCCAGCAGAGCAGCCCGGCACCCGCACTCCAAGCACCGTTGTGTCGCCGACGAATCCACGCGAAATCTGCGAGAATGAGGTCTGGTGGAAAGACGGCTGGGAGCAGATGCACCAGCCGGCGATAATTGAGGATGTCGCCCACAGCGTCCAGGTAAGTTTCAATCACGTAAAGGGCATCTGTCCCTTGCCGGTCAAACAGGGACTCAATCTGGCTTTCTCTTTTCTGCTTTTCTCGTTTCCCCTCTCCATGCCCCTGTATATCGCCGATGATCCCGCACAACATCCCACTACCTTGTCTGCCCCAGATCACAATGTACAACTTACTACCTCAAGAAAGAAAAGCAGATAAAGTCACCCCTTGGTACTAAATCAGTGGATAGACGGTGGAAGCTCTGCGACGCTGCCAGCCGAGAAAAGGCACATTTGCCAACGTCACGCTCCCAGACCGGAGCCATGGCGGCAAGTCTGGTCGGTGGGTCTTCTATGTCCACGATATCCTGGAGCCTGCGCTAGGGGGCGACACTGGCCCGCGTCTTCTTGTTACCAAGTATTCCCACCTCGCCGATCACCCGACACTGGGAGTGGCGAGCGCCAGGGAGGGTGATAGAGAACTGCTGCTGCACTGGAAGGACGTAGACCAAATGGGCCAGCGCGATGATGCCGAGCTCATTGATGCTAGTGATGTGGTGATGGCGGAGAGGAAGGACGGTGATCCGTCTGTCTCGTGCACCGTGATTCCGCCCTGCGCAGGTGAGTCTCCCACAGGATGGTCGCAACGCCGGTCGAACCCGACAGCGAGGCTGACATGGAGCAGACATTCCTGCTGTCGGATATTTCGCCCGCTTCGGCGTCCGGGATGCCGCGCAACCTGGGCCGCTCTTTGTGACAGCCCTGCAACCAGTCCCCGCCGCCGCAGGTCAACCTCCGCGGCCACGGTTCGCTCCGCTGCCCGCCCCAACCGTCATCGACCTAACCCCCGGCCATGTGGATCTGGCGGTAGGCTTCGAAAAGGCCGGTTACCGGATCCGTGCTGCCATCGGCTTTGACGAGCATCGCCACCAGGCATGGAGGGTGAGTTGCATCACTGTGACTGAGGAGCCTTGTCCGAGAGACCACCATGGCACTGACCCAGGAGCAGGAACAACATCCGAATGCCGAAGTCTATGCCGGCCCGCTAGCGTCTAGTCTCGCTCAATGGGATGCACAGGGGACGACGCTGACCGCACAGGAGAGCATCGTGCCTCGTGTTGCCACCTTGTCCGGACGAGCTGAGGATTTGATCACAAAGTCCGATGAACCGACTTCAGGGTCCAACGGACTGGCTGTCCCCGCGGGGGATGCCACAGACATATGGCAGATTTGTGGTCTGTTGGCCCAGTCCCCAGCTGCACGGCCCGACTTCGTGGTGGTGACAGTGATTGGGGTGGCGTCCAGTCAGATTGCCGGCCCCGCAGTCGGAGCCGCCGTTCGAGTTCTACTCGAGGCAGGATACTCAGTCACTGTGCGGACAATGCCCATCCACAGCGCTGGAGATTCAGACGATACCGCTGCGTTGGTCCTCCTGGCTAGCCCCAGGGGCACCAAGCCTCAATGGATCGATGAGACGCTCTCGGACCTGCACCCAGCCATGACGGAAGGCGGTTGTGTCGCGCGCAAGCATCGCGCCAAGGCTGCCGCTTCGGGGCGATCCGAGGGGACCGACACGGTGAACCCCCCAACTGCCACGGTTGACGAGCCAGCACAAGGCGCCCAGGCAGCACAACCTCGAATGTTCGAAGACGCAGTGGCTCATGCTGCGAAGCCAGTGGACGGGAGCGTCGTGGATACGGCGCGCAGGATCGCCACAGTGGTCACTCGCATCATCGGGGAATTCGGCAAGGGCGTGCAGCCGCCAAAAGACGGCCCGCGCCCTATCATCGCGGACACCGAACGCGACCGCGGCAAGAGGGTGAGGGTGAATACGGATCCGGTCATGGTAACAGGCCGACAAACTGACACTAATTGATCATATGCGCGATCAGTTCCGGAAGGGTACCTTTAGCAGTCTTCTTGTAGCATAGTTGACATCTTGTGTACATAGTCCGCGTGGTGTTCTCCCACCGATTCGTCCCGACGAGGCCTCCTTTTCGTGCTGGCTCGGACGTAACACACAGCTGCTTTCCTTCATTCAGAACCTCGACTCACACAGTCACTGTAGAAACGTAGGCGATGTCAGTTTCGGAAGACCTCGATCTCAGGCCTGGTCAGCTGGAATGGACGAGAAGCCAACTGAGCCGAGCCGACGCGGGCAGGCCTCGTGACTGCACGTGACGTCAGGTCAGATCGTCGGCATCAGAACACCCACATCTTGCAGGCGTCGTTCAAAATGAAATGACGGGGAATTTTTCTATCCACAGATAACAAGATGTTAAGTCGTGGCCGTGGGGCCGACACTTTGTTGAATGGTATGGCGTCAAGCCTTTATAAATATATATCCATGTTTGCATGCATCTATAGACGAAGTAAGTATATATATATATATACACTACCCGAGGCCAACCAAGTAGTTTTCCTGTCCGGATCGCCCATTACCACTGCTGACGAAAACCTGGTGTTGAGTCTATCAAGACGATATACTGCCTACAGACTCACTCAGATACATTTATTGAATTAAGCAGAAATTATATGCCTGAGAACTACAGTGCCTGTCCCAGCCGATCTCGTCTGAGTCCATGCCTTCTAAGGTCTCGGACTCTGCGGGGTTGTCCCTGTTGGCTCATGCAGGCCCTACCCACCGTTAGTTTCCCCAGACGTTACGGTTGTGTATTGGCCGGGATAACTTACCAGGAGATAGGCCAGATCGTCCGGTCGCAAACGGTCGGCATTGCCGAAGGAAAGCGGCGCCTCCTCGCCCAGGAT